AATCTTTCTACACATACCTCAGCTAGTAGAACAACTCTTTTGCCATCAGGCCAGATTACATGATCCACCTGAGAACGTACCCGCTCCCATGTAAGTTCTGGAGTACGAAGACTAGCCTAAGAAAGGAAACATTCAGAGAGGTTTAACTACAAGATTTCATTGGGAGAAGAGAAAAGAGAAACCAAGGATAATAAATACTTACCACATCAATTTCAGTGTTGGAATGTCCCATGTTACATACAATGCAACTATTCTTCATTCGATCCAAATGTTCTCTAGTCACCACATTCTTATTCCCTACATTGAAAAAAGGCATCTATAGCAAGCTGATGATTTACTTTAGCTATCCTATTTTTCCTTGCCTGTCCCTACATTTTTAATTCCAAATTTTACATATAGAACAAAACAGCAAGTTACATAACTAATATTTCCCAACATTTTGAAGATTCATACATTATTTTAATGCTGAATTTTGAGTAGGGGAATCTAATTTTTAACCATCCAAAAATAGAAAAACAATTTTAAAATTTCACTGCTGGGGAAATAACATTAATTTAAAATAGGAACATTACTTGTCTTTCTCAGAATGCTTTACCTGTGCAGGTTATGACTACATCCATCTGACGAATTACTTCATTGAGTTTCACTACCCGAAATCCATCCATGCTACCACACAGAAATGAAAGAATAAAGGAACACTGATCACAACACTGTAAAACAATAGGATGAACAATTTGTCCATCTAATCAACTTCTCAAAATGGAATAAATTAAAAACTCATTGTCAATATTGCACCATAACTGAATATATCTATTCTTAAATTGTTATTTAGATGATGGTCTTGTTCAATAATTTATTTCATAAATAAATTGATACAAAGGTATTTTTAAAGAGATCAATAAAAATAATTTTACTGTTACCGAAATGTAAAGGAATTTTTCATATACATTTGTAAGTTAGATACAGTACCTGAATTAATAAAATTAGGTCTGTTCTTACTAATACTGTCAAAGAATCCAAACCATTTTGTTTTGCTATGTTTTAAAGAGCAAAAGACGAGAAATATTCTATGAAGTACACAGATTCCCACATGCCCAATGGTGAATTACTACACTTCCAATTCTCAACAACCAAGTACCATTTTCACAATTTGGTTATTCATTTCATAGATTTCATTGTCTGAAACAGCAGCAATAGAATAAATAAACCAAAGTAGCCCACAACAGCTAGTATCAGGTTAAGACTGATATTACTTGATTGCTTTTGTGTACACTAGATATACAATACTGAAACTTTGTTCACATAAAACAGTATTTTGCCAGCTATGAAAAAGCAAATAAGAATAAGAATAAGAATAATTTTATTTCTATACTGCCCTTCTCCCGAAGGACTCAGGGCAGTGTACAGCCTATTAAAAGCACAAGACAAACATCAATTAAAATAATTTAAAATTATTAAATAATTCGGCTCAATTTAAAACCCCAGAAATTTAAAACATCCAATTTAAAATTATTATGTTGATAGCCCAACCTGGCGGAACAACAGGGTCTTGAGTGCACAGCAAAATACCCGGACGTCGGAGATCTTACGCACTTCCGGGGGCAGTTCATTCCACAGGGCTGGGGCTCCCACAGAGAAGGCCCTCCCACTGGGTGTCGCCAGCCGACATAACTTGGCCGATGGCACCCTGAGGAGACCCTCTCTGTGGGAGCGAACTGGCCGGTGGGAGGCTATTGGTGGCAGAAGTCCGTCTCGAAGGTACCCAGGTCCTATGCCATGGAGCGCTTTAAAGGTGGTGACCAACACCTTGAATCGCACCCGGAAGACCACTGGGAGCCAGTGCAGCTCGTGCAGGAGGGGTGTCATGTGGGCACAACGAGTTGCGCCCATAAAAATAAAGTGCATGACACTCTTAAAAGAGTAATATATAAGTCAGAGGTTCAATACTCAGCATGATCTGAGTCTTTCTAGAATTCAAATTCCATTCCATTCCATTCTATTAAAAAATAACTGCAGAAAAGTTAAATAGCCACACCTGTTAAATAGTTATTGTAGCACAAAGTACCTTTCTGGTAATGAAGATGAATCCAACAGAAAGGATCCCCACTTCCAATAGCTAGAAAGTAGGACCTAAGACTTCTTCCTATCCTATGGATCAGCGGTTCTCAACCTGGGGGTCGCAACCCCTTTGGGGGTCGAACGGCCATTTCACAGGGGTCGCCAAAGCCCTCTCTCACTGCCACACGCTTTCACTCACCCTCACTCTCTGCTCTGTTGGATCGCCGGCCGTTCGTTTACCCTGCCCACTCCCAATCTATTGCTGCCTCCTGAGTCCCAGCTGATGGCTAGAGGAAAAAAAAACTGTTTAAATTCTTGCCGCGGGGCTTCAAAGGGCCGCCCTATAGTCAGTGGTGGGATTCTGCCGGTTCTAGGGGGTTCAGCCGAACCATTTGTTAAATTGCTGGCTTGCCCCGCCCCTCCGCACCACTATTTATTGCCAATAAATAGTGGTGGGCGAGGGGTGAGCCAGCAATTTAACAAACAGTTCGGTGTTTTTTTGTAATTTTATTGGCCCACGGAGCTTCAGCATAGGCTAATTAGCCCTTGATTAGATCGGCTCCCGACTCTCAGCTGATTTGGTCTCAGCTGTTTTGCTCTACTGCTTGCTCTGCTGGAGCAGATTTTTTTCCCCCTAGCTATGCTGAAAAATGAAACTGAAAGTAAAGCAGGCTGTTGGCTTTGCTGTTGCTGCAACCTTGGAAAATTAGGCAGGCAGATTTCTTTTCTTTTTCCTCACCAAAAAAGGTAAGTGCAAACAATGGGAAATTTAGGGCAAAAGAGGAGAGTTCAAGATTTTAAAAGACAAAAGAAAAAAAGCTCTATTTAACTAGGGAATTGTAATAATTGAGATACTATTAATTGTATATTGTGTTGAAAGCAGAAATGGTTAAGTTGTGGTTTGGAGGAATATATGGGGGAAATTATTTGGTTTATTATTATTGGTAAATCTAATTAATTGATTTGTAAGAAATTGGATTGCATGGAAATAATTGGAATATTCATGTTCATATTGATTAATATACAAAAAAGGTAGTAAGAATGCTGCACGAGCATAAATGTGAGGATGGTCATAAGTGTGAGGACCAGTCAAAAGTGCGAGGACCTGTCAGAAATCACTTTTTTCAACCTCTGGGTAGTCCCTATACACATAGCCATGGCCACCCGGTCACATGACCAGCTAGCCACGCCCACCCAGTCACGTGACCTCCAAGCCACACCCACAAAATAAGCCACGCCCACAGAACCGGTAGTAAAAAAATTTAGAATCCACCCCTGGTTGGGGGTCACCACAACATGAAGAATTGTATTAAAGGATCGCGGCATTAGGAAGGTTGAGAACCACTGCTATGGATGAAACCCCTTCCCTTCAGTTATATGCATTGACTTCAAATGAGTACTTTTCCCCATCTATTTCATCAACTATTTCATAGTAACAACTCGTCACTGGCAGAATACATGGGAAACAAGAACAATGTAAAACTATTAACCAAAGCACAGGAGTACAATGTGTATTTTGAACCTGGATATTTGGATTTTCTCTAACTTTATTCACCTCCAGTACAGTGGGACTGTTGAGTCCATCTTTTTTTGATAGCTAGAAAAGTATTTCATGATAAAGCCTAACTAGTTTTCTTAGTTACCAAAGATGAAGCTGACAGGAAAGAACAAGTTACCATGTACTACCTTCAGCATAAGTCGTCATAATTGTTATAACCTTTTTTGTAACACTGGGTACCTCAAAGCTGCATCTGTTTAGATGGACTTATTTATTTTATAATGTATAAGAAAGGTGGTTAATTGATCATAGACTGCCTGTCTACAAAATGTCTAGTACTGTTGCTAAAGCTGTTGATGTAACTGCCTCCTTATTAAATCAACTGTGATGCTGGAAGGGGCCTTCTATTTCTGGCTGGCTGGTTATGGTAAAACAGTACATCTTCTAACTGATCTGCAAATAGTGGATCATATACTGTGGATCATGTTCCTCTTCTTTGATCTCATTTGAAGGAGACAAATGACCAGCCCTTCACACTCTTGAGTTATTTATAAAAATAATAAAGGCAAGATAAAAAAATCTTAACATAAAAATTTTAAAAAAACCTCTAAAGTATACCTAATATGGATTCTTAAAAGTCTTGCATATGCCATATCCATTATTGGGGGTGGGGGATGGGGAAGAAAGAATGTAGGTAAAAATAGAGTTGACCTTGGTTATAAAGCAGGAATCTGGTTGTACCACCAATTTCTTGCTGGTAGATTGGTTGCTGGTGCTATCATTTGCCTTTGCTTTGTTTTGCATCAGGAAGCTCTCACTTTTTAGCTTGGCTCAGCTTTTCTGGGCTAGCTTTGAAGCACTACTTTTTCTCTATGTTTTAAACTTCGGCTGCCAAATAGCATCTTATCTGTTGCCTATTATTGCCCCACTCATCAGCTTGAAGATGGCTGGTCAGAATGGCTTTGTTATCCTGTGGGGCAGGAAGAACTTTTATGAGCTCCCTTCTATTTAGAAGAGATAGATTTAATCCTTTCCTTAGGATCCATCTACAGTGATGAAGAATTTTATTACATTTATAAAAGTTAATGGGCTGCATGTAATTTTACTCCTTTGTTTACAGGACAGAAAAGCCACAATTCAGTCCTAAGTTGTAGCCGTGCTCTTGTTCCAAATGGTGGCCAAGGCCTCCATCAAACTGTGCACCAGATCTTCAGGAACAATCTTAATCACGAAGCCCTTAAAAAATTAATACGGGAGTGCATATCTACTGAAGATTGTACTTCCTTACAAAGATAGCTTTGATTTTAAGTTCTAGATAGAAGAACTTTTAATAATCGGTTTCATTTCAACCTTCTGAAGTAGTCACCAGAAGACCAACCAAAAATAATAAAGACAGCTGAATGATGTCAGGGAATAATGCTTGTAACAGTTCATCTCTTACCAGGCTTGAAGTGCACAGATGGGATCAATCTCTGTGATATGAACAATTGCTCCCAGAGCCTTCAGAGCTGCACAGCATCCCTTTCCAACCTGCGATACCCAAAAAGAAACACAAAATCAGAAGCTGGAAAACAATGTCTTGTCTACCTCAAAAGCAACGGTAGGTAATTATGAAACTGGTTTGAAATTTCTACACTAAAATTCAAATGTATATAATTGGTGTATTGATTAATGAACATTGATGGACTGGCAGCAAAAATACTCGGGTAACTTGTAGCCTCCCCCTTAATAGTCGTCTTCCTGTTGATATAGCATGAAGATGTTACTTCTATTCATTCCTTTACTCATAGCTGCAGTACTACTATGGTATTTACAGTACTGGCTCATTGCATAAAATTATATGATTGATGCAATTAAAAATGGAATTGATAATGTTTGCATTTGATTCCAAATATATGACATTTTTTTAGAAAAAGTATTGTTTATTTTAATTGGATTAGGCACTCGTAAATACCTGGGAAAGAGAAACAAAATGAAGAACCTGGAAGCTCAGCCCTTTATATTCTTGTCTTACAAACCATAAATATCTTGGATATCACCATACTTATCAGTAAAAAAAAAAAGTTTCCCCATCAACAACTTTGAAAAAAAATTAAAATATTTAAGTTAGATTTATTTTCTGAGTTGGGAAATGTAATACTACAATAGAGAGAGGAAACAGGAGAGAAAAGGAGTATTTAAAATAAAATGTGGCCAAGAAGTTATCACTTCCTCTGCTCAGTTTATTACTAAGGCCTAGTTCATGACAATTATCAGTTTAATCACATAATGAAGACTCACAACTTTGAGGAAAAATACATGCCAATTTTTGTTGTATAAGAAAAAATAAGGGAAGGAAGGGAAGGGACAGAATGGGATGGGAAAGGAACTGAACCATTTTAATATTGATTTTGAACAGCTGGAAAGTATTCCAGATTCTTCTTGTTAAGTATTTTGCATAAGCAATCACTTGCACTACTGCCATGAATTATTATATAGGTTGCTGTTGTAAAATTTTAAAAACGTTCAGAATTCCACATTGCCATTTATAAAGTACCATGCTGAAATAGTACATTCCATTCACATGTTAAGATTATCCTGAATATAACTGATGTATTTTACATACATTATTAATAGTAGTGATGTAAAAATAGTCACTAATAGCAGCTTGCAATTACTCTGAGTACCTTACAATTACATACACCATTTTCTGTTACAACACAATTGCTTGCTAATTGTGCTTCTATTAAGCAAGTATTACTAGTAAAAGGCAGATAATGAATACAACAAATAATGAAGGTTGTACAAAGCTAGCTATTTGCTTGTACTCATGAGAGCTCATAAAAGGACATTAGGATCATGGATTGCTTCTAATACTCACCTCACCATAACCACACACAACTACTTGTTTTCCTCCAAACATAACATCCGTTGTCCTCTTTAGACTACAGAAAAGAAAGCAACCCATTGTGAAAACACTATTCTCTTAGATTGCTCAATAAAGTAAAATTCACAGTCACTGTGTATCACAGCAGTGTATTGATTTAAACTTCTGGCAGAAAACTGAACATAAAGTTATGACACAAAACTTGAATGTTCTATTTTTCCCCCCCCAGTCCAAACTCACCCATCCAAGATGGACTCTCTGCAACAGTACAAGTTATCAAATTTCTGTTTGGTGACAGAATCATTTACATTCATGGCAGGAACACAGAGTTTTCCAGCTTTTGATAATTGGTACAATCTGAAAAAAGAAGGGGAGGATGGAATATTTCCAAATTAAAGTAAGATGACCATATCTTGGCTGCAAATGTTTGGATAACCCCTAGTCAGTAGCAAACAGTTACATTTTTCTACATTGTTCTGCTGCCATCTAGAGGTCATTTGAATTTCTGCAGCCCAGATATGGGCGCCCTAATTAAAAATCAGATAAGAAACCTAATGATCAGAAAGAGACATTGTTACAGTTTTTGGTTAGAAGCAAAGCTCAAGAATTTTAAATAGCAATAGATATGGGACTCTATAACAAATTATCTTTTGAATATGCACAGTGTTCTAATTATTAAAATATCAGAATAGGGAAGCATTATGAAATCTTCAAGATTTATTTAGTCCAATATAATTAAAGCTTTAATGAACATAGTGATATGTGTAATAGTGATAGTAATAGCAAATATCTAAGGAAAATCTTTGTTAATGCCAATTATACTGAGTTTATGAAAGAATAGCTGTATTACCTTAAGGGAAGCAAAAACAGCCATCACCCAAGGAAACATATTCTTTATCCATTAATTCAATTTTGAGTTACAGCTCAGTGATAACACAATTATTTAGTCTTTAGTATTTGTAGATACTGCTGTAGATATTCTTCCTTGGCTAAAGTCCAGTGTAGATGATACTGAACTAACTGACACTATTGTCAGATGTGGTATAAAACAATGTCTTATGCTTGTCAATTCATCCCTGAGTTACTACTGGAAACTTAGTACAGGTTGCATTTCCCACAGACATTTAAAACTAAAACTGTAAGAGAAAGAGAACAGGAGTAAAAAAGAATTAAATGTGAACATAGTAGAGTACCTCCAACCATTTCTTAAGTTAAGAGAATATTAAATTGAACATGTTAATTACTTCATCATAAGCCCAGAATGTGGTATAAGCAATTAAAAGGAAGAGCTGCTTCATTTTTATCTTAAAATAATATAAAGTTCGATGTATTATTAGGGAAATAAATAAGGAGCAAATGTGCATATTGACTTAACATTATTCTACCGTTCTTCACTATAGCTTTATTTCACCTGTTTCTCACTCTTTTCATGAGCTATTATACTATAGGGTTTAGAGAATTTTGTGCTTACAAAATTAATAGGCCCAACACAGCTAAAACTTCATATTTAAAGAACAGAGAAATTCTTCTTTGTTACCTGTGCACACCTGTCACACTCTCTTCCACAATGCCTCTGATCTTCTTAAATACATTGGGATATTTCTTATAAACCCAATGAGTCAGATCTCCACCATCATCCAAGATCTAGAAATATGGGAAATATAATTAATTCAGATATTCTATTATTGATTCATCTAACTGATTCATCTAATTGACATTGAACAGGTTCTCTTGAAATGATGCCTTTTATAAAATGTTCTCTAGAAATTCACCATTGTGCTGCAATAGCCTAAATCCGGAGAACCGGGCAATTAGTTTTGTACAAACAGGAATGACTAGATTTAAATATTCTGCATGTTAAATAATCACCATCTGAGATCACTGTATATTGTTCCCTGTGGGTTAAAGAAAAAAGCAGTATTTCCACTCAGCGTGCCAAAATCTTGGGCATTCCTGAAATAGCATTTCGATCCTCTGGGAAAAGACAACAAAAATGAGAACAGTGGAATTTTACTGGAATGATCTATTACCATATTTGGCTGCCAGGTATCCATATTTACACAGCAATCAATACACCACCAAAAATCATCTTCAGATTCTCCTTTCCAGGCAAACACAGCAACACCTAACAAAACAACAAAAAAGGGCCAAATGAATTTTTAAAAGCAAGGTTTCTTGCATTTTGCCCTAGCTAAGCATACTATCAGCATGTAGCAAATGTAACATGCTGTTACTTCCACATACTTTAGCTATATGAGTGTTGAAAATACTTTCCATGTTTTGCAAGAGCTACATAACAGTAGATTTGCCTACTTTAATTAGACTAATGATTTTCTTGTTTTGAGAAAATTTAAATAAACAGGTTATTAGAAAAGGTATTTGTTGTTACATTTATATATCACACAAAGCCAAAATTCATTAGCAATTGTTTTCTGAACAGTAAGCTAGAGGCAAACTATACAGATAGTCCTCGACTTACAACAATTTATTCAGTAACCATTCAAAGTTACAATAGCACTAAAAAAGTGATGTGTGATTGGTTTTCAGAATTAAGACTATTTTTTTTTTGACAATTAAGACTATTGCAGCAATTCCCATGGGCATGTGATCAAAAATCATGCACTTGGCAACTGACTCATATTTATGACAGTTGCAGTGTCCCAGGGTCACCTTTTAAAATCCTCTGACAAGCAAAGTCAATGGAGAAGCCAGATTCACGTAACAACTTTGTTACTAACTTAACAACTGCAGGGATTCACTTAACAACTGTGGCAAGACCGATCGTAAAATGGGGCAAAACTCACTTAACAAATGTCTTGGTTAGCAACAGAAATTTTGGGCTCAATTGTGGTCAAAAGTCAAGGACTATATTATGGTTTATTTCTATACATGAACAAGGCTTTAATAACCAGAACACACATAAAAAAGCAATCTATCATTAGAGGTCATGCTAAGCCATCGTGTGATTTGTTTGCTTGTCGTATGTTTAATTGGCCATTTTAATTCGTTTGTGTGAATCAGATCCCAAACATTATGGTGACCAATATGTTTAAAAACAGAAGTGCATCATGTGTTTTTTCCTTTGGGGAAAAAAGTTATATTAAAGCAATCCATCAAAATCATTTATAGATGGCTTTAGGCTTTCTTAGAATTATACAAGTAATAGTGGTCAGACAACGAGTCATTTGTTTTTCAAAAAATCCATCAGAGCAGATTCTTGGCAGAATGTGCAGAAAATGGAATGGTATAAAATATTTTATGGCACCCAAAGACCAAAATATTCATTGCAACATGAATGTTCATAGGAAAAAATGTATGCAGAACAGAGTAAATAATTTAAAACTAATAAGTGCCCTTTACTGTTACCTATTCTCTTATTATAGATCCAAGGAAGTCTACCTGACTTTGAAATGTTTCTCGGAAAAGATCTGGCAGATTTCCCAACACCTTGGGCATATAGAGAGAATTTATAAAAATATTAGGAAAAGGATATTAGCAAAGTACTCTGACACTATTTTTTCTACAGTCTTAAAAACAAAGTGAGGAATACAGTTGTATTTCTTTCAATATAGCTAATGCAGTAGAGAAAATATTTTAAACTACTTTTCAAAGAAAATTATCTGAAAAGCCTAAATTTGCCATCATTTTTGTAAGTATCACATTTGTTTATTTTTGTTTCCTTGCAATGACATCCTTGATTAATGCCACAGTAAAGTTGTAAACAGCATCTTCCTAATTAGAAAACAAGTATTGTGATAGATAGTATTAACTATTGTAGCCACTTAGCATTGATCCATTAGCTCCATGATGGCGAACCTATGGCACGTGTGCCAGAGGTGGCACGCAGAGCCCTCTCTGTGGGCACACGCGCTGTCGCCAGCTCTTTGGCGGGTTTCCGGCATGTGCATGTGCATGTGCGACAGCCAGCTGGTCTTCCCACGCACTGGAGCACTGGAAACCCGAATACCAGCTGGCCGGCACACCTGTTTTTTGGCCGTTTTCCAGGCTGTTTTCCGGCCATTTTTGGTCCAAAAACGGCCTGAAAACAGCCCAGAAAATGGCCAAAAAACCAAGGATGTGTGCGCTGGCCAGCTGATCTTCGGGTTTCCGGCACACAGGAAGACCAGCTGGCCAGTGCGCATGCACATGCCAGAAACCTGAAGATCAGCTGGCCAGCGTGCGCATGTGCATCGGCCAGCTGGTCTTTGGGTTTCCGGCACTCCGGCACGTGCATATGCACACGCATGCAACCATGTTCTGGTTTGGGCACTCAGTGCCGAAAAGATTAACCATCACTGCATTAGCTGGTCATTTTAATCACAGAATTAAAGGGTTTTTTTTCTATACAGCTTCCACATCCACATAGGTAACATACCTATGCTCAGTCTGTTACAATGATAAATAATTAAGTTTGTTTTAATTAAGCCATCCTTCAAAATAATGATTTTTTTTCATCTGAATGAAATCCACTTATTTTTCCTGAAAATATGAAGCTTATTACTGAGAAGCTTCAGAAAACAATTTTAGTACATGAAAAAGTTAAGTATCTTCTTGCATAACCAAATAACTTGGTACACTGTATTCTTAAATCCTGAGATCATAATGAGTAAATATTGCAAAAATGAATACATAATTTCTAACTCAATACTCACCAGCCTCAGCCAATGCAGCAGCCACCTCATTTTGAGTAGAATAAATATTACAAGCAGACCATCGGCATTGAGCTCCTAGTGCACAAAGAGTCTCAATCAAGACCTAAGACATAAAGCAAACAGCATCAAATTAAAAAGCTTCAGTAATTACTAATTGGATTGGGGCAATAAAAAACTCAGAATGAAAAAGTTCACAAACCATTAGATTCCACAAGTTTAATTTCACTTATAGACCACCTGATTCTAGAGGTTTAATTAGGCTAGATTTGTTAATTAATGCCACAACTCCTTGCTTCTTTAGAACATAAGAAAAGGATTATCTAAAATCCAAGCCATTTATTTCCAGTCCTTTGAGCTATTCAAGACTGCAGTTCCAATTCAAATAATTGTAGTAATCAGTTAAAACCCACAGTAAATCATCAGCTACTTTAGATCCAGGAGGTTCCATAAGGCCAATTGTCTTTGCAGAGTACAAATATTTATCAAGATGATTTAGTAATTATATTACCCCCTTTGTAGAAATGAGTTCCCTTGTTCCTCTGGAGGTGACAGATAGAACCCAGAAAATAGTAAAGATAAAAGAAGACTAAGATGCAAATAGCAAAACAGGTGCACTCACTGCAGTCTGTGCTGTGATATGTGTACATCCCACTATTTTAGCTCCAGCCAAAGGTTTTTCCCCTTGAGCTCGTTTTCTTAGTGAAATCAGTGCGGACATATCTAAAAAAAACCAAAAGTATCTTTAACAACCCCCCATGCCAATTACTGAGCAAACAATAATCTTCACTTCCTAGAAGGAATTATATGTATGTAAAAAGCTCCTAGGAAACAATTGTTCTGGAAAGAGAAATAAACAATTTGCCCCATTGAGAAAGATCTTGCATCCTGTCACTTGCAGACCATGCCTTTGGCATATTTTCTGAAGCACTTTCTTTAAAAGGTTATAGACGAGATACTTCAAATCACCTTTTCATCTGTGAATCTAGATCTCTGAACAACCCTAGTGTATATCTGAAAAATGCCAACCTGAACTGAACATTGCCAAGGAGTGCTTAATTGCTCAAAATGGAACTATGTGAATAAGATCCTATTTGTTAAACAAATAACTAAAAAAAATCACACTGATCACTTCTTGCTGTTCATAAGGATTGTGCAATACTACTTAATTAATAGGATCCAAAACTTTTGGCCTTGTTTATAAATTTACATCATTTGTGGACATTTCCAAGAGCTTATTTGCTACCAAGGTATTTGCTGACTAATGGAATAAAATTTATGATACCCAGAGAGAAGCTTTAGCAATTTGAGCTTTACCTTGCTCAGCAATCTCTATCTCTCGGCGCCCAAACTCTGCTTGCTTGATGTTCTTAACACAGAAATTACTATTGCCTTTGGAATTAGTTTGCTGCTTTTCTCTTGGAGAAACTTCATCATCAGAGCTATCAGTGTAGGATGCCGCTATAAAACAACATTAAAGTGTCCAATGAGAAGAGAATACAGATAAAAGAACCTTAAGTCAATGATTATGTTTCAGTATAGGAAGTAACCAAGTCAAGACTCTTTTCCACAATATGGGTATCTACTGAGTTCCATTATTAGTGATATTGTAATGAACCACTTAACAGTTACACTTATCCGAATAAGTGTAGGGATAACAAGGTCAGGGATAGGAACATTTATTTTTTAAACCAATCAGCCTCTGAGAGCTGCAGGGGATCTGCTGACATGTCTATGCTTTTAAAAAAATAAATTTTATTTGAATAATTCACAAAAGTCACATTAATAAATTCAGCAGCGTGACACTGTCTCTCTCTTTCCGTGTGTGTGTGTGCGTGCATGCGTGTGTGTATTCAAAGATTACAAGGAAGAAGTTGATAGGCCAAATATGCTTCTTGAGCTAATACTTCTGGATCAGCAGAAGATAAATCAAAGGAAAATAAATATTATTAAAAGGGAGACACTTACCAGAACTGTAGCTGTCTGTGGAAGACTGTGAAATGGAACGAGACAGGGATCTGCGACCAGTCTTTGTGGGAAATTTACTGAACTCCTGCATATCATCTGCAAACTGGATTTGCTATACACAAAAATTAAGAAGTTACTATTGTTTTTTTAAAGGTCAACAAGCTTAATTCTGCAACTATTAAAACATAAGCAACGTAAGATCCCATAATTTTGAGCCGAAATCATTTAATTGTTTTTAAATTGTTTTTAAATTTTATATGCAATGTTTTATCTTGGCTGTACACCGCCCTGAGTCCCGCAGGAGAAGGGCGGTATAGAAATAAAATTATAATAATAATAATTATAATAATAATAATAATTCTACGGTATTCAATACAAGTCATATTCCAAAGAAGAATGCTTCCTGTACAGATATAATATGGCATTTTATGTCACCAATAAATATAAATAGATGACATATCAAGATTTGTGATATTCAATTAATGTAAATAAAAATTCATTGCAGAACGAAATAGATGACACCATTCTATTCAATAAAGCTACGGTACTTTGTAGCAAGACATTTGCTATTAGCAGACAATGTATCATGTATGCCTAATAATAAAAACAAGGATGATTACATTTTGTACTTCTCCAATTTGCACCTATAAATACAATTTGTCTCATACAAAAAGATACCATATTCTTAAGCTTGTTCAGTTATATTATTCAACCATGAACTTGGAACTATTCATGTAATACAATAATATAGAATAGAATAGAATTCTTTTTTTGCCAAGTGTGATTGGACACACGAGGAATTTGTCTTTGGTGCATATGGTCTCAGTGTACATAAAAGGAAAAAAAAATACATTCATTAAGAATCATAAGATACAACACAGTGATAGTCATAGGTTACTAATAAGCAATCAAATCATACTAGATATTTATAAACTAACTATATAAATATTTTAATAATACATTAGATTATAATATAAAAATAATCATTAAACATATTTACATGTTTTGAATGGAATATCTGATAAATATTTTTCCTGTAGCTATTATTTAATTAGAGTATTTAGCCGGAAGACATTTAACTAAGAACTTATGAAATCATCTACCTTCAAATTCTAAGGACACGGAGAAATAAATTCCAATCACCATAATACAACAACTCATTTATAAATTGTATGTTCTCATTAAAACATAAAAGGATGAAACTGTGATATCGTAACAATAGCATCTGGCTGTGATTAACTCACAATCAAAAGCATGAGAAGTATCTCAAGACAAATATGTACTCCATAAAATGCTTGTTTTCACATATCATACTTAACAACATTGTGGTTTTGTTTGTATTTGCTTAATATGCTATGTGAACTCAGCAAATAAATAGAATATGAATTGTTTAGAGAGACTGAAAACAACTTTGATATTAGTTTACTGACTGCAATTGTGTAGTAAATGTGAATGCAGGGTGGATAAAACTCAATGATTTTTAAAAAAAAAAATCAGATTTTTTAAAAATTTTATCAAATTTATTTTAATAAAATGCTTTTGGAGCAAAAATCTATCTAAAGGTAGTTTTCTATGTAAGATACATAAATAATTTAGTTTATTTAGCATGAACTGGTGCTTAGTTATGTAGCATGAGGCTGTATATTCTGCAGCGTTGGGACTGTCGGTAAGTCAACAGGTCAGAGGAGTAGCAGAGATGACAGTTGCTCTTTAAAAATTATGATTTAAATCGAGTTGATTTAAATCAAGCCTTTTTACTAGTGATTTAAATCATGCTTTAAATTAAACTTGATTTAAATCAAATCCACCCTGTGTGAATGAGTGCAATTTCATGAATTCATTTATTGATCAACCTAACCTGTAAGGGTGTGAAGTAGTATGACTTAAAAAAAGAATGAAAAACAAAACCAAAGTGTTTAAACAAACCATGATTACTTTGCTTATTTGGAAGTAACTCTGGATTGTTCAGAAAAACACAGTGAATATATAACATGGCTGAAAAGTAGATTCTCCTTCAAGGTGAACTTGACACTTTTAACCAGGAGAAAAGGAGAAAATCTAATTATTATAAGGGAAACAAACAAAAGATGTGCATGTTTCTGATTCTCAACTATTCTAGTAGTTGTTGCAAAATCTACAAAACTTGAAGCAACACTGTCTCTCTCATTTAATTAGACACACAGACACATGCAAACCTTTCTGCATTGATAACTGTTGGTAGTCTGTACAAAACGTACATCTATATTTATAAGGTATTAATAGCTAATCTCTGAAAAGGAAATCGCTTAGAATTAGGAAACCATCTTGTTAATAAAAAAAAATCTTATCCTTGAAGTATACAAATCAGGCATTATAACAACTGCTTTCACTGTAATTTGATTATTTCAATAAAGTACACTCATATGTTTCTTGTGTGACTTTGAGAACAGATTATTAGTGGGAATACCAAGAGTTAGAGCTGAAATTTGGGAATCTTAAAGGGGAAGAAATGCAAAAATATTTCAAAATGGTACAGAAATGTACAGTTTGCTCTAGGCTGCCATAAATAATTTTACTGCATTTGATCACAAACTGATACAAGTAAGTGATTTACATAATGAGAGAAATTGGGGTGGGGGATTTTAATGGTCAATTTAAATAATATTTTAACTTGCATTCCCTACAAATGAACTAACTTTCCTGGGAAATAAAATGCATGCTTTTTGGAATAGCTGAGGATTAATGAGATAGGGTGATAAATATTAACATGAATTTGAGAACATTAAAGAAGTTAGGATTAGATCACATTTGGGACATTCTTACTTATTTCAAGATTTGGAATCCAGTTTAAGAACCAAAAGAAATTGTTCTAATCCAATATATTTAAATCCAATTATTTGTATTTTAAACAGCAACATTTAAAACTTAGGTTAAGATGGGGGACTAGAATGGGAATACCATCCTCAGGTGTAGAAATTTAATGGGTGATTTTGGAACAGTCACCCTACTCCACAGGATTATTGTGGTGCAAATTAAAGGAGATAGTGCTACACTGTATATTGCACCTTGAGTTCCTGAATGGTAGAACATAAATATAATAAATAAAATGGTGGCAATGTTCACATTAGTGAAAAAAAAATAGAATTGCTATTGATGTTTTGCATTGCCAAGAATTACCATAGCAGTATCATAGAAATCCTTGCTGTCTCACAACAATGAAGCACTAGCTCTGACTTTCTTCACCTCCAACCACAGGGTTTGTGATTGTGTCAAGCAGACTTGTTGAGGTTCCGTTATGAACAGTACAGACTAGTCCAACAAGTTCCATTCATTTCTCTAGGGTATAAAAACTAGTTTCTGGGCAAAACTTTAATTATTAAAATCTTTATCTACAACTGTTTTCCTTAGGGCTGTATTCCAAAACCAATTACAAAGTTTTTAACATAGTTACTTTAAAAATGTGAAACTAGTTTCTTATCTTCGAATGTATCTACTTCAATTGAACATTTTGTCTGAAGATACTGGATATCTCAACAGGCTGTTTAGTAAATGTTTCTCTGCAATCATCTCTCTTTTGGAGATGCAATTCAAGAGTTGGAATATTAAATGTTGGAAACACTAGGACTGTCAACATTTTAGTATAATGGCAATATTTGGAATCTGCAAGAACAAATTGAAGATTTCTTTGGCATGAAAGATAGACCAAACATATTGTATAACTTGGAAAGATAAATGTGCATTGTCAATAAAACACTATTTCAATTACAGATAAAAGGCAATACGGTCAAATTTTTGGACCAAAATTTAGGCATTTATTAAATTAAAGTTTTATATCATAACCGTGTACCATGAGTATATATCTGCGAATGCATGTATACTTGTTCAATGAAATGTATTGAAAAAACAATACATTATGCAACACATCCCAGTCCAATCATGCTGATTTGGACAGATCTAGAATTTGCTGCAGGAGTCTTCCAAGTCTCATCAAAGGAAATCTAGGTCATCCAGTAAATTTTGAGAATAATTTAGAAACAAAGATAATTTGGCTCAAAAGGCGAATATGTAAAAAAAAAATCAGAAGGGAATGTACTTTTCTAATGAATAGCACTAGCTTCCAACTACAGATTAAGTTTACCAGAGTTCTGTTTGGTAATTCCAAGCAGCATTCTTTTGGGAGAAATGTAGAAGAAACTTATCGGCTGCCTCTCCCATGTTTACATCAATTTGAAACTGTGTCTCTGGCAACAGAAGCATGCACTGCTTTCAACCTTGGGTATTAACTGAGAGTTTTTTGTACCTATTGCTGCCATCTGGGTGTAGCTGCTGCTGACGCTAATTCTCCATCAGGAATTTGAATAACTCTTTCCAATTAAATTTCAAGTTATCTCTACAGTTTCTCCTTAATCACTTGGGCCAGGAGACAGAACTCTAGGGATATGCAAAAATACTCAGAATGGGCTTGAGTATTTGGAACTTGAGCAAGCCTATCCTGGGGTCATAATATTCAGAACAGTATATTTTGGGGTCAGAATGTCCCATGATCAAACATTTTACATAACCCTACAGAGTTTCTTTGTTTTCAAAAGCAGGGACCAGATGGTTATTTCAAAGAGGAAGGTATAATGTTCAAGAACAGGCAGCCAGGAAGCTGGAAGGTAGATCTGGCTCTTGATAGTCTCCTGTCCTCTGCCTATGTAAAAGCTTAGTAAGAACCTAGGAGCTTGTTCCAAAATAAGAAGCAGAGGGTGTGTTAATCAACCAGGCAATACATCTATGGACATTCTCAGTCGTCCAGGTCATGGTTGTCCCAAAGGCATGATCATATGACTGCAAAGAATATAAACCCTTCCATTTTTCATCATTCAGTCAGAACTGAAGAAGCTTCTTGGATGAGAAGGAAAATGTCTTCTAGCAAAACAAGAAAGTCTAGTTTCTTTCAAAAAAAAAAAAAAGCACCTTTGGGACAACCAGGCAATAATCAAGGACGAAGCTAAGGTTGTTAGCTGAGTAGTAGCAAGTCATCTTGACCTCACCACAGGCTTAGCCATAAAACATCATCATCTTAGATCAGTCTCTCCCAGGGGTGGGTTCTAACTTTTTTTACTACCGGTTCTGTGGGCGTGGCTTATTTTGTGGGCGTGGTTTGATGGTCATGTGACAATTCTTTAGGATTTAGCAGAGGTACTGGTCTACCAGGCGTTTAACTGGTTCCAGAGCTGTACTGGT